GTGGATCGAAATATGAATCTGTTCAGTGCGGCTATCCTTCCTGTTAGGCGCTGAACTTTGCAAGTATTTCTTGGCGAGGATAGCTCCAGGATCGCAGAGATCTGCTTAGGATTGGCTTCGATGCCGCGTTAAGTGACCAAGTATCCTAGGAATTCGCCGGATGTGACTGCGAAGGTGCATTTTACGGGATTGAGCTTCATGCCATACTCGTTGAGTATGAGAAATCATTCACGCAGATGGACAATATGATCGGCTGCTTTAGCCGATTTGACGAGCATATCGTCTATATACACCTCCGTCATCTTTCCGAGCTGATCGGCGAACATCTTGTTGATGAGGCGCTGATAGGTGGCTCCTGCGTTCTTCAGACCAAACGGCATGACCTTGTAGCAATAGGTTCCTCGATCTGTGATGAATGTGGTCTTCTCACTATCATCTGGATTCATGAGAATCTGGTTGTATCCTGAGAATGCATCCATGAAGGAGAGTAGTTCATTGCCCGCGGTAGCCCCGACGAGCTGATCAATGCGAGGGAGAGGAAAACTGTCTTTCGGACAAGCTTTATTGAGGTCTGTGAAGTCCACGCAGACTCTCAATTTCCCGTTCTTCTTCTTGACTACCACCGGGTTGGCGAGCCACTCCGGATACTTTTCGGTGATTGATCCGGCCTTCAGCAGCTTATCTACTTCATTGTGGACGGCTTGTGCTCGCTCAAGTCCTAATTTCCGTCGCTTCTGCTTGATCGGCTTGAAAGTGGGGTCGACGTTCAACTCGTGATTCATGATTCGAGGGCTAATTCCCTTCATATCGGCCATAGACCACCCAAACGTTGCGACGTTCTCCCGGAGGAAACTGATCAGCTCATCCTGCATTCTTGGCAACAGTTCCGTGCCGATGCCAACGCAACATTCCGGATGAGCAGCATCGATGTTGACTTGGACGATGAGATCGCTCTTCGACTTCTCATCGTGGTGAATTATCCGTAGATCGAAGTCGCTGTTACTGCCGATCACGAACGTCGATGCTTTGCGGGCGCGTTTGTTGTCGATGTAACAATGTCGAGACACTGTCTGATCGCCACGGATGGTGATGACACAGCCCCTGATCGGCATTTTAATACATTGGTGGTAAGGAGAAGGGATGGCCCGCATGGCATTCAGCCAGGGTGTTCAAATGATGGCATTATAGATTGCAGGTCGGTCGATAACTTCGAACTTGACCGTAATTGACTTCCCGCGTATGGTGACAGACATCGTTATAGTTCCTATCGTGGAGATCGAATCTCCAGCAAACCCGGTGAGGGGTGATGGCGCGACTTTGATGTCCCGCTCGGGGATACTCATCTTGCGTAGAGTATCCATGAAGATGAGGTCCACCAAACTTCCTGTGTCGATCAGTACTTTGGAGATGTCGTATTCTCCGAGCCGCAGTGAGATGACGAGTGGATCATTATGAGGTCGGTCTATATCTTGCGCGTCTTGCTCTATAAATGTGATCGGTAGGTCATCTTTGAACAGCAGTGGGGCGTCCTTCGGGGGACTGGCTGCCTTTCGTTCGTGCCGTTTAATCGAATTGATCGAGTCGGTGCACGAGAGAAGCCCTCTCATGATCATGTTGATCCGCCAACATGGTGAGCTCGGGGGTGTGTGATCGTCTTCACGGTCACGCTTTGCTTCCTTGCCTCCGCGTTTAGAAGATGGGTGATCAACATCGGTTCTTCTTTCTCGATTAGCATCGGCTCTTCTATCTCGATCGCCATCGGATCGCCTGTCCTGATCATCATCGGATCGTCGTGAAGAACTCCGGGGCTCAGGTATGGTGCACTCACCATCTTCCCACGGCTTTTTCAAGAGGGCCAGGAGGGTACGGCAGTCATCGGTATGATGGCCGTGTGCCTTGTGGTACTTGCACCACAACTTCTTATTATCAGGGTCTCTGTCACTCGAACGGTCCTAAACGTTCCATGGCTTTTTCAGTTGTCCAACGGCGTTGATACTCTTACGATTTTTATCATCCTTGTCGTAGTGCTGACGAGGCTCTTTGTAATCGTCCTGAGTCAACGATCTGGTTTTTTTGTCACGTGAAGATTTTTCGTCAGCCAACTTGGCCTTGGCCTTGGCCACCCGATCTTCTTCGACCCTGATGTAGCCGGTTGCCTTATGCAAAGCATCTTCTAGGGTTTTGGTCTTTCTTATCTTCAATCGCTCGCAGTACGACGAATCGTCTCTCAAGTTCCTGATAAGGATGTTGAGGGACAGCTCGTCAGATAGACTGCATCAGGAGACGATCGTTCGGAATCGATCGATGAAGTCGCACAACGGCTCCGTCTCACCCTGGACGCACGCCCATAGATCTAGCACCGTGGACTCCGTGTCGATATAGATCGAATAATGCTTAAGGAACCGAGCTGTGAGCTCCTTGTAGCTATCAATGGAATTTTTGGGAAGCTGCGAGAACCAGGTGAGGGTGCTTCCGGAGAGCGTCTCCACAAAGTACTAACAGAGGCATGCTTTCTGCTCCTCGTCGGTGAAGCGAGAGCGTCCCATGACTGCATTGAACGCGGTCAGGTATCGCTTCGGGTCTGTTATGCCTGTGTAACTTGGAGGTAGCTTCATCCGGCCTATGTCCTTGAGAGGAGCATTGGTGATGGCCGACGTGAACGGGGTCTGCTGCGTCTCCTGGAGGATCTTATCCAACTCTGGTGCTGAGGTCATCGCCTTGTGGATCTTGCTGTGGATATCGTCAAGGCGTTAGTGGAGAAGATCAAGTTCCGAGACCGTCGTTAGGTTGGCACCTGCAGTGTTACGGGATGAGCAAGCATTCGAGCCTTATACCTGTGCTCTTTGCAGGTCGTCTGTCGGCGTGGTGCTGAATAGGTTGTTGACCAGTCTGGTCGTATCTGTGTTGTGGATCAGAGGGCGAAGGGGGGTGATTAGATCGGCCTGCTCTTGGGTATGAACCCTAGAGTTGAGAAGCCGATCTAGGTCTTCTCGGTAGGCAATCTGCTCGGTACAGAGGGATTTGAAACGAGCATCCGTTCCCTGTTGTAGCTGTACTGCGACCAATCTGATGATGGTGGCCATGTCGATGGGAGGCGGTTGTGGCAGGTTGGTCGTGTTTGTTCCACCGGTCTGGCCGACCTGATCTGTCGCGCCTGTCGTGTCTTCTTGCTGATCAGTCTGGTTGATCACTGGGAGTCCAGTGACTGGGTCGATGACCAGACCCTAAGCGTTTCTTGTTGGATCGGCAACTCCCCCTACAAGATCGGTGGATCTTCATGTGATGTCAGTGGCTTCCGTGGTTAGGTCAGTGGTATTGGTGTTGATCGGTGTTTCAACCATCTTCAAGCTCCGTTCTTTATCAAAGATTGTTCTCTTATTCCCCTCAGACGGCGCTAACTGTAAAAACTCAAGTTCGACTTTAAAAGAGAACTAGGGTTTGTGGGTTAAAGAGAAGTTTTTTATTAGAAGAAGCCGGAGCTTGAATGAATACACGGAGGTTTAAGTCGTCGGAATAAGAACGCCGACCTAAACTTTTAAGGAAAGTAAAACGAAAGCGAACAATCAGATTGCTTAGTTTTTCCTAGGTCTCGAGAGATGATTTTTGGATGATTTGAGAAGTCGAGGACCTCCCATATTTATAGCTGATCAGGTCGGTCTTCGATGTATGTCAAAAAAGGAAAGTCTTTCTGCCGACAAGACCTAACTTCCTTTTTTCCCGAAATTGATAGATAAATGGAAGATTTCCATTTATTATGCCGACTTAAACCTTGTAAAATGGGCCGACGAGGATTCATATCGGGCTTGTAGAGATGGTACGAATCTCATCTCTAACAATAAACCTTCAAGAAAAAAAGAACTATAGAAATTCTATGAAAAACAGAAAATAATAACAAAATTTTAGTAAAATTATATGTACGTCAAAGTTGAATAATTCAATAGGTGTCATTGTTATTATTTTATCTAATAGTTTTTAAAAAATTATAAATAAAAATAGAATAATTTACACATTATATATTAAATTCTATAAATTTCTATAATTTTTAATAATTTTAAAGATAGTAACTAAAAAAAATAAACTGAAATAAAGACTCGCGTGTAACGCAAATTATATATCTAATTCATATTAAAAATTTACTGACAAAAATATCTCAGCTATTGATCTATTCAAAGTTAATCGATGTCTTTTTGAAATAATGAAGTTATTTGATTAAGGTTAATATAGTCATTAATATAATAAAAAATAACAAAGATATTAGATTTGAAGTTTTGAACGTATATGGTAATTTTTGCATGAAAACTAATTTTTATATTATTTTGAGAACTTTCTCTGAATGTTAGTGATGGCAAATCAGTTTTTTTTAATTATAGTATCACTAAATTGTATTTCTCTTTTATAAACTCATAGCGTCTTATTTTGTTAATTTTGTCTTTTTTACACCCTTACACGCGCCTATTTTTCCCAAATCATCACATTCTCTCTTTCTCCCCCTCCCGATTTCTCTAAGATTTTGGCCCTATCTCTCTCGACACACGTCATTAATCTATTTTTCTTTTTCTCTCTTACACACACTGTGAGACACACTTAAATGTCCAACCTTTTATCTTAAGATTTTGGCTCTATTTTTCTCGCACACACGTCAATACGGCATAAATAGATTTATGCATAGTATTTGTTTATGATTAGTGTCAGTTTGTAATGAATACTGATCAATTTAAACATTTACATTAAATAATTACCTAGAATGGTAAAAACAATTTTTTTAAAAATGTATATCATATAATTTTAAGTAAAATAAGAAACAATATTAGAACATTGTTAACCAAAAGATTTTATATTGGTATCAATCTCAATGATTAATTGATATATTATGCATACGTTGATTGTATAAAATTGTATCTGCTTTTATTAAGTCATGGGATCTTATTGTTAAATTTGTCTTTTTTTACACCTTTACATGCGCCTCTTTTTAACGAAATCAGATATTGTTAAATTTGTCTTCTTTGACAGCTTTACATGCGCCTCTTTTTCACGAAATCAGATATTGTTAAATTTGTCTTTTTGTCACCTTTACATGCGCCTCTTTTTCACGAAATCACATTGATTATATCTTTCTCTGCCTCCCAATCCCTTTGTTTCTTCGCCGATTCAGATTTGGTGAGTTGAGATCGTATTATATAAGGAGAAGCATTTTCTTTTTCCGAAATGAAATTAGTCAAATGATAGTCAATCGATTATACAATCTCGTAATCAGTTTCTATTTGTTTCACCCAAGAAATTTGGTTTTTCCCATGCTCTGTTATTTCAAATGATCTTCTTCCTTCGATTTTGATCTTGACAAATCTGTTGGCTTTGAAGAGATCTTTGTTCTCGCTTTTTGTTTTTTTTTTTATATAATCAAGCGTTCTCTCACTCTCTCCATTATGATTGCTTGATAGTTACTAATTATCTGTCGTCTTCTTAATTATGTGTGAAGGTAAATGATGGAAAAGTTGCCGGCTAAAGGTGATGCCGCAGGTGATGACTGGGGTGATACCCACCACGATGACGTCACGAAAATCTTCGTGGGAGGTGGCCGTGAAGGTATACAGCACGTCAGTTTTGAATATGTTAAAGATGGCATTCCAAAATTTGGACTTATCCATAAGAAGTCTCGTGGTGGATTCATTCAAACGGTATGTGATTATAAGCTTTAGAAGATGATTCTTCTTATATTACAAGAAAACGTTCTAGGCTATCGAGGTCTGCATTTGATTTGACCAATTTGACCAATTTGTTTGCAGTTTGAGATAAACCATCGCAGTGGTGAATTTCTTGAATCCGTTGAAGGCTCCTACAATGCAGATGGTGCAATTCAAGGTCTGCAGTTTTTTACAAACTTCAGACCCTCCGGAGTTATAGGATATGACGGTGCTATAAAATTTTCACTGAAATCCAACGGTAAGAAGATTGTTGGATTTCACGGCTCTGCCACTGACACAGAGCTCAGGTCTCTTGGAGTTTATTGTTTAGTGATCTGTCCAACCAAAATGGTAGCACTAGGAGCAGAAGGTAACATTGGAGAGCAATGGGATGATGGAGGAGACCATGATAGTGTGTCAAAGGTTTCCGTCCATGGTGGATATTCTGGCATAAATTGCATCAGCTTTGAATATGTCAAGAATGGGGAAAAAGAAGAAAGCTTGGTCCATGGCCTTCGGGATGAAGGCTTTACACAGACTGTAAGTACCTCATTGCAAATTTTATAACTATACACGCATTGATCGTTTAGTTAGAAAACTCAGAACTTATTCAGCTCTTTAGAGCCTTAAAGAAGTAAAGAGAAAGCTTTAACCGCAGCCAAAGTTCCGATACTCATAAGCATAAACATAAAACGTGCAAACCCTAAAACATATGGGCGTTGTTCAACATTTTCTTGATTAGTCATTGGGCTTGGGTCAGAGACTTGTTTTACACGTTTCTTGTGAAGTGTATTACATAATCTTCTTTCCACTGCTTGTTTTGTTTGTAGGTTGAGTTGGATTATCTTAATGGTGAACAGATAATCTCTGTAAGTGGTTATTACGACCCAGACACTACTGTGATTCAAGCATTGACTTTCCATACCAACAAGAAGACTTCCGATCTAATGGGGCACAGAAAAGGTTCTCAGTTTTCAATTAAGTGCGAAGACCATTACAGACTTCTAGGGTTTCATGGCAGCTCAGGCAAAAACCTTCATTCCCTTGGAGCGTACGCTGTTCAGAAGCGAATTAGGAGACTGGAAGCTGTAGGAGAATCTTCTCAAGGCAATTTATGGGACGATGGCCCTGATCACAGGGGGATTAAGAGCATACATGTTTTTGGTCGTATTGACTCTCTAGTTGGGTCAATAAAATTTGTTTATGACAAAGGAAGTGAGTCAGTAATTGGTGAGCACGGTGACATGGGCAGAACTGAAGCAAAAGAGGTAATAACTCTGTACCTATTTTCCACACACTGTCATAATGATAGAGTTGCTGAAATCCATATTTGTTCTTGCAGTTTGCGCTGGATGAGGATGAATATATCACATCTGTTAACGTGAGCTACGGAATCCAGGGCGGTTGCACTGTGGCTATCACTTCCTTGGTTTTCAAGACCTCAAAAGAGAGAAGCTCTGAGATATTTGGAAAGGTGTCTGGAGAAAGTTTCACATTTGAGAGTGACGGTAATGCTATTGTTGGGTTCCATGGGAGGTCTTCTGATGCTGCTCTTTTAGCTATCGGAGCATATTTTGCTCCTCCTCCTCATGTTGCTGCTGCGACAAGTACCTATGCCTTTAACTGGAAAAGGATCACTACAAAATTGCGGAAATCAATGGAAAATCCAGCAACCTGCTTCAGCGGATTGGGGTCCATGTTCTGCATCCTTTAAGGATATTTTTCTCTACTACGTATTGTGTGTTTCCTATGTTTTTTTTTGGCGTTGTACTACGACGAACCTTTTCTAGATTTAAATTCAACTACTTCTTCTTCTGCCTCTAATTTAATTCAACTATTTCTTCTGCGTGGACAAGCTCTTCTGGAAAGTTAGATTCAGAAGATGCGAGAAATCTCCAGTTTTTGATAAGTCGCTCTAATCAGATCCTAAGCCTGCTTCCACTGCATCGTTAGCTCTCCAACTATATCGAAGACTATAAGAGTGGTCTCAAGTTTCTTGGGTTTATGTCTTGAGTCAATTTTTTGACTAAAATAGTGGTCTTCTAAAGAGTGGTCTTATGACAGACTCCCGTTACAGTTTTTGTCTACTAAGCCTGCTTCGTTTCTCGTGAAATTCGAGGCAATTGCAGCTATAAATTTCCTCGTTTGACCCTGGATCTCGCCTCGAATTCTTCGTCTTGGGTGGATTAATAAATTTAAAAGGAAAAGCTCATTCTCGAGTTTATGTGATTCCAAATCCAAATTCCGCCACTGGATTTTTATGTTAGTGTTGTTTAGCTGGGGAAGGAGCTCGAAGAAGATGGTGTTCAAATCTTGAATAAAATGGATTGCGAGCTCTTCGTGATGATCTTATCAGTGGGATCTCTGTTTTTACAAAGTCTACGGGTGTACTGTGTACAGTTGGCGTACAGATACCCTTTGGCAAGATTCTGATTGTTTGTTAGGGGCACAGGTAAAATGCGAATTGGCATTCGAATTGGGTTATGGGATTTCAATCTGAATGGGTGATTGAAGAATGTCGTTTTCCTTTTGATTGTTTGATTTCTCTGTGTTCAATGTTGCAGGACTTTTTGCAATAAGCACTTATGGCGGCCTGTCAAACCGTTGGAGACCTTGCAGCCCTATTCCAATCCATGAAATAGTTAATCCTGGTACTATATCTAACTTTGTTTGCATGCACCAAATGCATTTAAACCAGTTCTTAGGGTAACACCATTTAGAGTTTTAGCTACTTTGATGTGGATTAGTAGTGTTTTTTACATCAACACACTGAGCGATGTATAATCCATTATGGTTGTTGGTAGTTGTGTTCAAGACTTGCCTCTTGGGGTCTTTTTTGAAATTTGTTCTTTCTAAACTTTCGATTTATTTTTTTGAATGTTCTTGGTACTGTCTCTTTGCAGCGCCCAGTTCAATAAATAATGGCTTCATTTATGCAAAAATGTTTGGTGGATTTGACAAGATAAGATCTTCTGTAGGTATGTATCAATTGACTGACAGTCTAAAACTCCTTTTTATTTTTTTCCGTTATGTATGTTGATAACATCTTAGGGCAGCTCCATCAAGGGTATGTAAAAGGTATATAAAATGGTATTTAAGAATAAAATAATAATTAAAAAGTAAAAAGAGAAGAAAGAGAATTAGAAACGTATATAATTGTTGCTTATTTGGAGACGTATATAAGAACATTGAGATACTCTAAATTTATGTGGCATGTTATTATTGGTTTACTTTTTTAATTATTTAAAATTTAATTAAATTATTAAATTATATTAATATAATATATTTTAGAAACGGTATGACCGCTGCGGATGGTCTTAGCAAATTTTCTAGATATGTGATCTTGTTACCATATCCAGGCTTCTAAATGCTACTCTTGTCATTCCAGAGCTTCAAGAAAGTCTTCGCTCTCAAGGCATTAGGTACGCCTAGCTCTCCTTCTGTTAAGCTCTTCTTCTTTTCTTTTCTTTTTTTATCTTTGCACGTTTCTCCAATATTCTCTGTTAAAGCATGTATCAGACTCTTCTAAACTCAAGTGTATTTTTACATGCTCTGCAGCAACAAGTTCAAGAATTTCTCCTATCTTTATGATGAAGCGGAATTTATATCCTTTCTTAAAAATGATGTCATAATTGCGAAGGCACTCCCTGAGAGCTTTAAAGCCGCAAGATCACTCTGCATCACCAAAATTTCACCTCGAGGATGTATTGCCAAAGTTAAATAAAGCTCGTGTTATTGGATTGATCGCGGCTGATGGGTAATGATTGCAGGTACTGAGTGCTCTTTTCTCCCTTAGGCGCTCTATCTTGTATAACTTCTAAATCTATAGAGATCTCTGAGTAGATATTTTCTGCTTGCCAACTACCATCACTCGTCATATCACGTACTGGTCACTTTTATAAAAAGAAGTTGATGTATTAGTTAAACAAGGTGTTTTATCCTCAACAAAGTTTTTTTTTTCAGTCAACGTTGCCCCAGCTTCAACTTTAAAGCCTGAGGTGTAGAGTTGCCTTCCATGCCCTACAGCTTCGTTTAGAAATCTAGGTGTTAGGCAAGAAGATGGTTGACAGGTACTTGTGATGCCTGCAATTTAAAATTTAATGGACGAAATAGGAGATAGTCATGGCTATGGATGATTAAATGGGTTAAGAAGATGATTGCATCTAAGCTTTTCTTTCTTTAATGATGATGTTTTTTATTTGAAGAAAAGTTCCACATAGTATATATGCATAATAACTAGATACATTTAATCATAATTTTTCCGGAACTTATCATTGATCAATCATGTTAATCACGTTGACCTGAAAAAGTTGTTTTGGGATTCAATATTAAAACACTATTTTGCAGCTTCACATTAGTAGACTAATGGGTAATTTAATCATATTTATACATATTTTTTTCAATCACTCATGTCGTTATCATCAACAGCTTCGTAAAACCGGCCATGACGTTAAAATTAATGTAACAGAAAATAAACCAATCATTAGAAGTTTAGAACTCATGTCCAACGCACTACAATAACTTATATTGTTAAAAAAAAGTAGTAATATTTCAATGCTTTGATGTCAAGGAATCAAGGACATGTCCTTTCGTGCTTTGCATTGGCAACTAGTCTTCTTCTTCTTCATTAAGAGTAAACTTGTTTACATATAAAAGTTTATTCTGCTTCTTCACATCTTCAACTATGTCCTTTAAATTGGCCTCTTTGAAAGCTTACCTTGCCGAGTTCATCTCCACTTTGCTCTTTGTTTTCGCCTGCGTTGGCTCTGCCATTGCCTTTGGTTCGTTCTCTATCTCTCAGTCTGCACTATGTGCAACCTAAATACATTTACGATTCCGCAATTTTGATTATATACGATCGTTGACTAACCTAATAAGATGGAGATTTATCTATCGATTATTGTAAAGTTTTTTTGTGTGTGTTACTTCCATTATACCAAATAATTGATTTTTATCATGAAAAATTGTAGTCTAACCGCCTAATTCGTAATTAGTTAATATGAAAAACGTAATTATGGGTCGACACTATATATATGAACGTGATAACAATTTGTATCGCATAGACAAACTGACGTTGACCAACCAAATACAATCGAAGTTAGCGAACCTTACGTATAGTTAATTGAGATGTATTTTTCACACTTTAACAAAAAAAAGAGATGTATTTTTCATTTGTGACATTGATCATATACTTTGTAATTATGAGTCAATACTTAACGAATGTGGTAATTATTTGTATGAAATAGGGAAGCTAACGGAGAATGCGGCGCTTGATGCGTCCGGACTTGTGGCGATTGCGATTTGCTACGGTTTTGCACTCTTTGTGGCGGTTTCGATCGCAGCTAACCACTCCGGTGGTCATGTGAACCCAGCCGTCACTTTTGGCCTTGTCGGAAAACTTAAAATCGTCACCGGAGTTTTCTATTGGGTTGCTCAGCTTCTCAGCTCCACCTTGGCTTGCTACCTTCTCAAATATGTCACCGGTGGTTTGGTATGGTCGATTACTCACTAACTTCTTTATTTAAATATGTTTTCATTTTTAAATGCTAAAACGGAGTATTCATTTAGGAAAATGCAATGTATGTTTTTCACAAGAAAAATCTACATTTTTATTTGGTAAAATTACCGTTTGTGAAGAAATTAATTTGTACGTCGTGGTTGGCATTATTGTCTATAGGAACTTAATTTTTAAATAGTATAAAAACTAGCAATTAGCTGTAATTAAACACATTCTATTTGGTGTTGTGTTTTATGTTGTTACTATATACATTTGTGAAATATCGTTTAACTTGAGTATTATTATTATATATTAACAAACGCAAAATCTTGGAAAACGCAGGCGATTCCAATCCACAGCGTTGCGGCTGGAGTTGGGTCCGTCCAAGGAGTGCTAATGGAAATCATAATCACATTCGCATTGGTCTACACCGTTTACGCTACAGCCATTGACCCAAAGAATGGCTCTCTAGGAACCATCGCTCCACTTGCGATTGAACTCATCGTCGGTGCTAACATTCTCGCCGCTGGTCCCTGTTGGAACTAGTTTCCGTACTAAGTAAAATAGACAAGTCGAGAATAGAAATTTGGGGACTTTCTTATTAATTGTTTGATCGAAACGACAAGTACAAAGAGGGGATAATAAAGACGAGATCGTCGAAAACTTTAAGTAAAAGGAAAACGGCCTGTTTTCCGAGTTTTGGGGAGTCGTCAAACAAGAAGCCATCAAAGGAAGGAGAAAAGACGTCTTGAGGAGAAGTCAACTTCGAGAGTGCAGACTTATCGAGCTCGGGAATCGAGAAAAACATCCTTTTTCCCAAAAAAATCAGATATATTATCACATCAAGTCATTGTGTTATTTATAGCACATCGATGACAGTGTCAAACACTGGGCCCGCAGGCTTTTTCCGTAGATGGGCCGAATCATCACTTCTGTAAATGAACCGGGCCTCCATCTGTTTCTGCTGACCTTGGGTTGATTTCAGCTAGTGAACTTTCTTCAATATTGACCCATTAATTTATACATGGACTGGGCCAATTCAATGGGCTTTTGGGCCCAGTACCAACAGTAAGTCTCCTCCAGTCCGTTGGGTGAGAATTTATTCGAAATGTGATGGATTCCTCGAGGTTAATTGGCCCGGTATATTTCTTGAGACGTCAATTTTTCAATCGGCGCGATTTTCAAGGTGACACGGCTCTTGAGGCGGTTCCTAGGTCAAAGTGGAGACATCTTCAGCCCTTCTCCTTTCTCTATAAATACTCATACCCTTATTTCCTTATTTCTTTTGGCCGCTTTCCCACTAGCAGCAACAGCAGCTACAATTAAGGTAACTCCTCCTCCTGCTCTCTCCCTTCTCTATTCTCTTCTTGCCTTCTCGTCTGTCTTGTGGAGTCATGTGTGGAGTGTTGCGGAAAATCGGGGCTCGACGGTCTTGACGGCGCAGCGAATTAGAGTTTGATATCGTGGATCTCGTTAAACCAGCAAGCGGAAGCCCGGCGTCTTGGCGTACAAGAGGTCTGTGCACGGGCGGTCTACCGCAATGCCGACCGCTCGAGGAGCCGGCCGCTCGAGAACCGGCTGCAAGGAGTGCCGACTGCGAGGTCCGCTCAGGGAGCCGGCCGCTCGGGGAGCCAGCCGCGAGGTCTGCTCGGGGAGCCGGCCGTGGTCCGCTTGGGGAGTCGACGGAGGTCCGCTCGGAGCCGTTCGCTCGGGGTGCCGGCTGAGGTCTGCTCGGGGAGCCTGTTGAGGTCCATTTGGGGAGGTCCGTTCAGGGAGCCGGCCGAGGTCCGCTCAGAGAGCCGACAAAGGTCCGCTCAGAGTCGGCCACTCGGGGAGCCGGCCAAGAGGGCCGCTCAGAGAGCCTACAGAGGTTCACCTGGAGAGCTGCCCGCTCGGGGAGCCGGCTGCTCGGGAATGCCGGTCGCTCACGAGTTGGCGAGGCTGGAAGGTTTGTCGCCGGCTCCTCGCGGGCGGTGCCGGCTCTTTGCGGGTGACACCGGCTTTGAGATCATCGTCTTTTAATAGTCGGAAGTTTGGTTAAACTCGGCAGGCATTTGGAATCATATCAGGTCGAAGCTGGTGTATTTTGCAACTTGTCGGGACTGCTCTGGTCTTCGTTGTCTTGATTAACCGAAGTTATTGTTGTTGTTTTTCTTTGCAGATTTCGTGGATTTGTCTCAGCCGGTTGTCTGTTTGTCCTACGCTTGGTTTTTGATGGAGAGTGGCAGTTCGCCGATGTTTCCGCAAGGGGGGTCGTCTCCTTTTCAGTGTTCCGGAGGGTCGACCTCCTCAAGCAGTACTGGATCTACGTCTTCGAGTCGTGGAAAATCTGTTTCCTCGAGTGGGTCAAAGTTTGTGGATATTGAGGGGGTTGAGGGAGGTCACGACATTTGTCGTGATGGGGATACGATGATGAGTGGAGTCGTCATGGAGGATCGTGGCGAAACGGGTGGAGTCATTGCGGAGACTCGTGGCAGAATGACCATCAAAGTTTACGCTGATTCTAATACCGAGTTGGAGTTGGCTCTTCGGGAAGACATGGAGAAGGGTCTTCGTGATTTCCCGAAATCTCGATCGACCCCTGAATCCTTGAAAGGTATTAAGTTGCGCTGTGGAGTCTCTGGCCTTGAATTTCGGGTTCCCGAGCCGCATGAGCACCTTTGGGATGCTCCCGCCAGCTACATCTGTCTTTACAAGTATTGGTTCGAGAAGTGCGAGTTGTGGCTTCTATTGCCTGATTTGTTGGTGAACTACTGCAGTGCAAGACAATTGCATTTACGCAGCTATGCCCGGGTGCGATTCAGAATATCGTTGGGGAGATAATCGTGGGGGAGAGCAATGATATTAGTGTGAGTCTTCGTCTTTTGGAGGCGATGTCGGTTATTTCGTAGAATACGACAGGGTTTCGGGGAACGATCACATTACAGATAGAGCCAAACAGGAAAATCATTCGTACTTCATGGAAGAAGGATCACAACTGGATGGACTGTTACTTCTTCGTCCGAGTGATGAAAGATGTGTATACTCCAATCTGTCACGGGGATTTAGACCTTCTTATTCGGTGTAGAGCACATTATGGTAGTCTTGGGTATTTCTTGACGTTTGTTTTATTGAGTCTCCTCTGTTCTCTTGGTTGTTTTTGTTTTCGCAGTTCCTCATCCGACTAAAAGATGATCTTGAAGCATTTAAGCAGTTGGGAGCGAAGAGTTGGTCATCGATTGTCGACACTCGGGCGCAAAGGGACTTGGCTCACGGAATTGGTGGTGGGTAGTCTATTCCTTCCTCTTTTTTTTTTGGTGGGGGGAGGTCGCTAACACTTGATATTATTTTTTAGTTGACTTCTTGACTCGGGCGGTGGGGAGTATGGACAAGATGATGGAGGAGATTCTGACGTACTCAATTCCTTCGCCGATGATTCCGAATCGCTCGATGCCGCCGAGAATGCGCAAGATTTGTGAAGAGAGGGCAGCCGCTGCAGCGAAGGGGAAGAGTGTCGAATTGGATCAGGGTCGCGGGGGAAAGAAGACGGGCCTCGCCGAGCAGGAGGATCGTCAGAATAGAGGGGCAGCTAAGAAACTGCCTCGTCAAAAGGGCATTTCGGGAGTTCCTCGAAGGCGGCTGGTCATCATGACATGGTGGCTGGGCTGTCTAGCACGGGGAAGGGTGTCGCGAAAGGTGGTTTGGTCGCGCAGAAATAAGGAAACTTCAGGTTTTTCTTATTCCAACTTGCTTTTTGATAATTTCTCACCCAATTCGTTCCTAGACCTTTAAATACTTTTTTTCAGCCATTGTTTAGGCAACCCTCTTCTTTTATATTAATACTTTTAGGTTTGGTGCTTTGTAAGCGTGGGGAGAAGAATCTCTGCATCTTTTAAGAAGATTTCTGAACCTTTTGAATTTCTTATTTATTGATTATGGATTTCTCTTCCTCTCCTTGTTGTTTCTCTGCTTTCATGTCTGAGTAGTTTCATAGTTAGGTTTAGGGTTTTCAAAGGATTCATGAATCAATGAACTAGACATAAATAGGGTTATTCATCTGCTGTCTTCACCTATTGTTGTTCTCATTGCTTAGATTAATTTCATCACTTAATCTCTGATTTAGGGTTTAATCTATTCATGAAAGTGTTTTAGATTGCTTGATAGAACATAGGTGAGCAGATTGTCCTTAGCCAACGAAAGCTGATGTTAAGGCGATTTGTGAACAAATCGAATCTGTTCATTAATGCTTGTTTAGAATTTTAAGTTCAAACGAAAGTTTAGATACTTAAGTTGCTAGACAAAGTCTTTGATGCCACGAAAGTGGATTAATTATACATTTATGTTTGAGTTCTAGATTGTTCTATAAACTGCCCTGAATAATTGTCTGGTTCTTGATCTCTGAATTCCTGCGAAATACCTAGACCTAGCGCTTTCTTTTACTGTCTTTAAACCGCTTTTATTTGCCATTTTCATTTTACATCACAACCAACAATCATGTTATTATCTTAGCTTAGTTTCATTCATTAAGATTTGCAGTGTGACACTTGGTCCATGTGGATTCGATCCCTACTTTACTACAACATTTGTTGTGCACTTGCAGTAGTTCTATAGGGTTAAAACTCTGTGTATCAAGTTTTTGGTGCCGTTGCCGGGGACCAATAGCGTTACCTGTGAATCTAGGATTGAAGTTTAGTCTAAGATTTACTAACTAGTTTCTTCTTTCACTCTTGTGGATTCAGGTGCATGCATAGAAGAAGTAAAGGTTCTGATAACCTCCTCCTTCTAAACAACCAGGAACTTGTAAGAGTTGAAAGGACAAACAACAAAGGAAGGAAAAAGAAGTCGAACCAAGTCACGATGGGTGATAATATCGACGACCAGGATCTACCGGAAGGCGAAGCTAACCAGGCTACAGAGCTCCAGCGTATGCAACAGCAGCTGAACAGGTTGCTACAGCAACAACAGCGGCAACAAGAGCAGCAAGCTATTGGGGATGCGGATACACCTCACACCTTCTACAGGAACAGAGCTGATATCCGCATACCAGCTATTGAGAGAGCAGACTATGAGATAAAACCACAGATGATTGCATTGGTGAAGCAGCATCTGTTCCATGGCCTTTCTGCTGAGCTTCCAATGGATCACATTGAGAATTTTGAGGAGATCTGCAGCACAACAAAATCGAATGGAGTACCTGCTGACTTTCTCAAATGCAAGCTCTTTCCATTCTCCTTGGCTGACAAAGCACAGAGATGGCTTAAATCCCTTCCTCCTGGATCTTTGACAAACTGGAATGAATGCAGAGCAGCATTCCTGGACCACTTCTACACTAAGTCTAAAACTGCTGCTTTGAGGAACAAGATCACCACCTTCCAGCAACATTCAGGGGAATCCTTCTGTGAAGCATGAGAAAGGTTTAAGGAGTATCGCAGAGAGTGCCCTCACCATGGGTATTCAGATGAGCAGTTTCTTAGCATCTTTTATGATGGAGTAGAATGGGAGTTCAAAAACAATCTCAATGCTGCAAGAAATGGAGATTTCATGACCAGGAGTACACAGAAGGCATATGAGCTGATAGAGAACATGGCTGCAAGTTCTAATAATCGATGCCCTGAGTATGACAGGTCAAGAAGAGTTAGTAGTGTGGAATCTCATAAGATAGATGAGCTGACTGCTCATCCCTAACTAACACCATTTTTCTATGTTTTGTCTTCTCTTGAGTCAGTCCAAGATGTTTTATTGAGTCAAAATTATCTTGAATGTCATGAATTTTTCTTTTAAACTAACTACTTCACATTGACATTTGAAGGACCATTGCTACAACAGTTAACCGTAGATTCTGCTAAGTAGAACGCTAAGAGTGGATCAACATAACATAGAAAGTTCATGTTCCTGGAGAGTCTGAAGGATCCAACGTTGACTCCACACTAATGAATTTCGAAATTCTCTTCTTAGGGCTTGGCATGCATTGAACTTGATTCCTCTTTCAACACTAATGAAGATAAGTTTGATACAATCTCTTTGATCTCCCCTTGTAAAAAAAAAAGAATGACTAAGTCCAAGTAGTGAGCACTCTTAGACCTGTCTCCTCACAAGGAACACAAGTAAAGAGTAGCACTATTTCTTGGGATACAAAATAAAAGAAAGTCGAAAAAGAAAAATATGAGATGATGCCCTCAAATAGGGAGAATCGATTAAGGGGAGAGAAAACAGGAGAATTGTACTGGAGACTGTCTGACTTGGAGCTTGGAAGGGAAAGAATCTGTAAGTTCTTTGATCGATATTCCCTCGATTGAGACAGCACTTAAATAAATTGAAGGGGTCAACAGTGGAGAGCTCAGATTTTTCTAAGGAATACTGAATGCATCTGAGATGATTGCTAGACTTGCGGCATGTATACTGACACATTATCTAAAGTTAGCTCTGTAGCATATGGGTTCAAGGGTGTTGATAAAAAAAGGTGGGGTTTGAGAGAGTTCATGACTTCTATGTTTTCAAACCTCTTTTCCTTACTCAGTATTTGCTTGAGGACAAGCAAAATGCTAAGTCTGGGGGAGTTGATATATTGGGTTTTTGAGGCTTTCCAACCTAAAATTTTTAATGGTTTTTTGAGTCAAAGTGTGTTTTTAGAGTCTTTTAGTCTTTTTATCGAGTCTTTTCAGGTTTTAGATCGTTTGGGAGAAAATAGCAATTTTGGGAGCAAACGAACATATGTGGATGCAGAACTATACAGGAACGTCTGAAATTTGGCATTCGTTGAAGTACTTTCCACCGCTGGATCGAGTTGAAAATTGGACACAAGCTACATCTTTGAGTTAGCTTTCACTTGGAAGTGGTTTGAAGTCAATCCAACGGTGCGATCAAAAGCTATGCCAGTTTTCGTGAAAGCAGTCTAGTCTAGCGCGCGCAGAAGGCCGAAGAACTTCTCGAGAGAAATTAGATCGATCGATCTAGATTTGGATCGATTGGTCCGAAGTTCAAAAATTACTCGAGACATTTTAGATCGATCGATCCGGGAGGGATCGATCGATCCGAGAGGCCATGGATTTCCCGAGAGGATTTAGATCGATCGATCCAAGTCCGGATCGATCGATCCGAGATCTTAACCAGCCGGTTTGGTCGCGCAGAAATAAGGAAACTTCGGGTTTTTCATATTCCAACTTGGTTTTCGATAATTTCTCACCCAATTCGTTCCTAGACCTTTAAATACTTGTTTTTCAGCCATTGTTTAGGCAACCCTCTTCTTTTATATTAATACTTTTAGGTTTGGTGCTTTGTAAGCTTGGGGAGAAGAATCCTTGCATCTTTTAAGAAGATTTCTGAACCTTTTGGATTTCTTATTTATTGATGATGGATTTCTCTTCCTCTCCTTGTTGTTTTTCTGCTTTCATGTCTGAGTAGTTTCATAGTTAGGTTTAGGGTTTTCAAAGGATTCATGAATCAATGAACTAGACATAAATAGGGTTATTCATCTGCTGTCTTCACCTATTTTTGTTCTCATTGCTTAAATTAATTTCATCACTTAATCTCTGATTTAGAGTTTAATCTATTCATGAAAGTGTTTTAGATTGCTTGATAGAACATAGGTGAGCAGATTGTCCTTAGCCAACGAAAGCTGATGTTAAGGCGATTTGTGAACAAATCGAACCTGTTCATTAATGCTTGTTTAGGATTTTAAGTTCAAACGAAAGTTTAGATACTTAATTTGCTAGACAAAGTTTTTGATGCCATGAAAGTGGATTAATTATACATTTATGTTTGAGTTCTAGATTGTTCTATAAACTGCCCTGAATAATTGTCTGGTTCTTGATCTCTGAATTCCTGCGAAATACCTAGACCTAGCGCTTTCTTTTACTGTCTTTAAACCGCTTTTGTTTGCCATTTTTGTTTTACATCACAACCAACAATGATCTTATTGTCTTAGCTTAGTTTCATTTATTAAGATTTGCAGTGTGACACTTGGTCCTTGTGGATTCGATCCCTACTTTACTACAACATTTGCTGTGTACTTGCAGTAGTTCTATAGGGTTAAAACTCTGTGTATCAGCTTCATTATTTGATGCTGCAAATTCAAGGCGGAATGACTGCTCGAGGATTTCTCCTGTCGGCGATATTAATCTAACTTTGATGCCCGATCCGTTTCGTGATGACGAGCCGTCAACGTATAGCGACCATTTCATGACGGGTGGGGACTCGGTGGAAGTAGAATCAGGTGGTAGTTCTACGAGAAAATCGGCGAGGACCTGGGACTTGGTGCATGTCCTGCTTTTGTAGTCGATGTCGTATTCACTTAATTCAACGGCCCACTTCGTCATTCGTCCCGATTGACTTGGGCTGTGCAGCATCGTTCGCAGTGGTTGATTCGTGAGAACCGTGATTGAGTGTGACTGGAAGTAGGAACATAACTTCTGGGCTGAAGTCACTACCGTGAATGCGAGTTTTTCCATCGTCGTATATCAGCTCTCAGGTCCATCCAGTGACTTGCTCACATAAAAAATCGGCTTTTGTTCACCCCGGTCTTCTTTGACGAGTATGCCGCTGACGACCGAGTGAGATACAGCGACATAGAGGTAAAGCGTTTTGCCGAGCTCGGGCTTCGCTAGGACTAGTGGCGTTGATAGATACTCCTTGAGTTGGCCGAAGGCCTCCTCAAATTTTTCGTCCCACTTAAAATGCTTGTTATCATGGAGAAGCTGATAGAAGGGAAGACACTTGTCGGTTGATCGAGAAATAAATCTGTTAAGGCGGCGATGCAGCCTATGAGTCGTTGTACTTCACAAGTGTTCCTTGGCGATGGCAGCTCGAGAATCACAGATATCTTTTTGGGTTCGCCTCGATTCCTCTCTTAGTGACGAGGTACCCGAAGAACTCCCCAGATTTGACGGTGAAGGTACACTTCTCCGGATTGAGCTTCATCTTGTATTTGTTAAGGCTTTTGAAACAGGCACAGAGGTCGTCGACGTGATCTGCAGCGTTAAGTGATTTCACGAGCATATCATCGATGTAGACTTCCATCGTTTCCCCGAGCTGGTCGGCGAACATTTTGTTGATCAAGCGCTGATAAGTTGCTTCGGCATTCTTGAGGCCGAAAGGCATGACTTTGTAGCAATATGTGCCCTGGTCGGTAATGAAGGAAGTCTTTTCTCGGTCGTCCGGATGCATTGTACTTTGGTTATAGCCGGAGAAGGCGTCCATAAAAGATAGTAGTTCTTTGCCTGATGTCGCCTTGACCAATCCATCGATATGGGGGAGTTAGAAACTATCCTTGGGGCAGGCCTTGTTTAAGTCCGTAAATTCGATGCAGACTCTTCAGTTGCCGTTTTTCTTCTTTACGACGATCGGGTTAGCCAACCAGTCTGGGTATTTGACCTATGTGATCGATCCTGCCTTCGATAGCCATTCGACTTTGTCGTTCACCGCCTTGGCTCGTTCGGGGCCGAGCTTGCGTCGTTTTTGTTTAATGGGTTTAAATGGTTGGTCGACGTGTAGCTCATGCCAGGCGAGGGCGGGAGGTATTCCTTTCATGTGTTCGGTCGTCCAGACGAAGGTGGAAGCGTTCTCTCGGATGAAATTGACCAGCTCGTTCCTGAAGTTGTCATTCAGTTTGGCTCCGATTCCGACGCATCTTTCTGGGTCGCTTAAATCGATATTTACTTTGATGACTTCTTCTCTCTGTTCGTTATCTGGTGGCAGGAGTATGCTATCCATCTTTGTCGTCATCAGACATATTGGGGTTGATTTTCTCAGGTTGTGTTCGATGATAAAGCAGGTCCTTGCGATCTTTTGGTTTCTTTGGATTGTAAAGATGCCTCTTGGTGTCGAGAATTTTACGAATTGGTGGTAGGGAGATGGGACCGCCTTCATCTGGTGTAGCCACTGAGTGCTAAGAATTGCGTTGTAGATTGCTGGTTTATCGACTATGACAAATTTGACAATCTTGGTCGTGTGTCCAACGTACACTGGGAGTTAGATAGTGCTGATCGTCATCGTGGTGTCTCCCGCGAATCCCATAAGTGGTTTGACGCTTGCTTTGAACTTTGTTCCTTCAGGTTCTATTCGCTGTAGCGTTTCTTTGAATAACAAGTCAACAGTGCTGCCGGTATCTACTAGGATGCAGGGACTTCACAGCCGCCGATTCGAAGCTCTATAACGAGCGGGTCGCTGTGCGGCGTGCCTATTCCTTATAAATTCTCTTCTCCAAATGATATGTCGTGGCCATCTTTGAATTCATCGATGACGTGGCAATTCCATTTTTGGGCGGCGATGCTCTATCTCTCGTACCCCTTGATTGAACATACCGAATCTTTACATGTAGGGAGTCCCCTCATGATCATATTAATTCTTCTTTTCGCGGGGGGTTGGACTTCGCCGTTGTCTTGCCTGTCGTGTCCTCTTTTTGGGGGTGACCCCGGTGGTGGACCCGACAGAGCGAGGACGGGCTATTGTCTGGCCTGCTCCTGGGCAATTTTGAAGCGTTCTCCCTCTTTCTTGGGCTGGGGGTCTCCTCTCTTCTCGTTTGGTAGTGCTAACAGACTTCCGCCAGACTCCTTAAGCTCTTTCTGATATCGTGCGAACATATGTTCGTGCAGTAGTTGTGATTCTTCGTCAGAGTGGTCATAACGATTGTGGAGAGTGCAGTATGGCTTCGAACTTCCGGGTGACTCTTGTTGATTCGACCGGATGTACTTGTTCGATCGCCCGCCTTGCCACTTGTTGAACTGTGTGTCATTGATGACGAAGGCGGGCGGCTTGTTCCCTCTGTTGTTCCTTTGATAACTGCTGTTGTAATGCTGTCGGGGCTCGTGGTATTCTTCCTTTGGCTTTTCTTTTGGAATCGCCATTTTTTGAACTCCGTACTTTTTGGCTTTTTCGATCTTCTCTTCTTCCAGCTCGATAAAGACTGTTGCTCTATGCAGTGCGTCCTCCAGCGTCTGGGGCCTGTTCTTTTTCAGTTTTTTGTAGAGGCTGGATTCGTACTAGAGCCTGTTTCAGAGCGCCAGGATTGCCGCTTCGTCCGATATCGACACTTTGGAAACGATGCTCTTGAATTTACCAATGTATGAGTGCAGCGACTCCTTTTGGCCTTGTCGAAGCGTGTACAGGTCCGACTCTCATGCTCCTTTCTCGATATACATCGAGTAGTGCTTAAGGAAAGTCATGCTGAGTTCGTCGTAGCTGTCGATTGAATTTGCTTCTAGCCTCGAAAACCATCTTAAGGCGGCGCCGGTGAGGTTTTTGAAAAACAGTTGACAGTATCCCTCGTCGCATTCTTCCTGAGGAAAGGGGACACGGTGCTTTACTACGTTAAAGGTTGTTATGAACGGGGTGGAGTCTGTGGATCCATCGTACGCATTTATTTTAATTTTTCCGAGGTGCCGGGCCGGTGAGTTGGCGATGCGACTTGTAAATGGCGTGTTTTGCGTCTCCTCTAGTATGCGGTCTATTTTGGGTGCCAAGCTTGTCGCTTGGTGGACCCGGGAGTTCATCTGGCGCAGTTGTGCCTTCATGCTTTTGAGCTCGTCGCTCTGTCGGTTTTGGCGTCGATCGTTGATAGCGAGATGTTCTCGAGTTGTTTGCTCCTGCCGAGGGATTGCAGGGGGCTCCTCGACTTGTTCGGCTGGAGTCGGAGTCATCTCGTTGAATAGGTTTTGCTGTATTTGTGGAGTAAGGTTGATCTGTCTTGGTGCCTGCTCTCGGAGCTCGTCAATTTGAGCGTGACAGACGTGCTGGACCGTGGCCAACTCGTCGAGTCTCTGGTTCACTCCTTGAGCGTTGCTACTCATCTGGGCGAGGAGCATCTGTAGCAAACTCGAGACGTCGGTTTGTGCGGGTGCTCTACTCGTCAACGCCTCTTGTCTCGCAACGTCGGGATCGTCCTTGTCGCTCTGCCTACATTGGAGAGAGGTGTCGTTGCTGTTAGGAAGGCCGGTCCGGTTGGCGGTACGTAGGTTCTGTAGGCTGAAGCCATTGAGGTTGCTCAAGTAGTTGTTGTTTGTTGAGTCGGCTCCCGTGGCGTCTCCTGAGAGGTCGACATGCCGGGTAAGGACGTCGGCACCATGGAGATCGGTAATGTCTGCTTTCTGGACGCTGGAGTCGTCCCTTCTGGTGGAGTCCCTTCAGTCATTGTCGATTCGATTCGTAAGTAGAAAAGAATTCCTCTCCCCATATATGGTGCCAACTTGGAACTGGTTTCCGCACTAAGTAAAATAGACAAGTAGCGGATGAAAATTTGGGAATTTTCTTATTAATTATTTGATCGAAACGACAAATACAAAGAGGAGACAACAAAGACGAGATCGTCGAAAACTTTAAGTAAAAGGAAAATGGCTTGCTTTCCGAGTTTCGGGGAGTCGTCAAGCAGGGAGCCATCAAAGGACAGAGAAAAGACGTCTCAGGGAGATGTCGACTTCGGGTGTACAGACTTGCCGAACTCGAGAATCGAGAAAAACATCCTTTTCCCAAAAAAATCAGATGTCTTGTCACATCAAGTTACTGTGCTATTTATAGCACCTCGATGACGGTGCCAAGCACTAGGCCTGCAGGCTTTTTCTACAGATGGGTTAAATCATCACTTCTGTAAATGGGCCGGACCTCCATCTGCTTCTGCTGAGTTTGGATTGACTTCAGCCAATATATTTTTTTCAACATTAACCCATTAATTTATAAATGGACTGAGCTAATTCAATGGACCTTTGGACCCAATATCAACAGTCCCTTCTCTAGAGGATCCATGAACCCTGCTCGTTCCTTTGGACCAGCTCTTGCGGCTGGTGACTTTTTCAGGACATTGGGTCTATTGGGTTGGTCCACTTGTTGGTGGAGGACTCGCCGGAGTTATCTACTCCAACGCTTTTATCGTCGAATCCAGCACCGAGACCCAATCCGAGGAGCGTGTTCCTCTTATTTCCTCTGCTTAAATAAACTTTTGATTATAAGTTATGTCTTGTTTCTTTTTTAGTTTGGTTTTCTTGTTTCTTAATCTTTTAACTTGTTCGAGTTTGGTTTGGTGATTGTATGAATATCTTTTTTGTTGTCAACTTATAAATTATATAATGAATGATACAAACCTACCCACAACAACTAACCTCATAAAATCTAACATCGCATGCATACACACAGTACATAGACTATAGGCACCACACTATTTACATTTTGTTTTTTTGTTAATTTGATTGAATATCAATTGATTGTGAGGTTAAAAAAAAATGTATTCAAATAATTGTTTAGGTTATCTTGTTGGATATGTTTGTGGAGCTTAAAATGTTGGTAAGGAAAGTAAAAATAGTTCGCTCTTCGCTCCAGGGAAGGGTTGAACCCCCGACATTGTGGTTAACAACTACACGCTCTAACCAACTGAGCTACTGAAACTTTTTGCTTTTTTAACCGTAGAATAATTTAATTGAACGTACATGTACAACTTCAATGTGGGCAAGAAAGTTTGAACCTCCGACCTTGTGGTTAACAGCCACACGCTCTAACCAACTGAGCTACTGAGATTTATGATATTTTACCAAAATAACAAAGTCATTGATTGATTTTAAAGGTCTTGACTTGGCTCCTAAAACCCTATTTGCGAAAGAGGAAAACTTGAGTTTTTTTTTTATTTCAGGTATGATAAAACACAATGCTCTATGTATTCAGAAACCTGCGCTTTCTCCTCTGTCGTCCTCAAAGGCTTCTTCTTTCCCTCTCTCTCTTAAACCCTTTTCTCCACGATCCTTCTCTTCTTCGTCTCCAATGGAAAATAACGAAGCCAATAATGGTACCAAGTCTTCTGCTTTCCAGTTTAACAAGAGAAGAGCTGAAGGATTTGACAAAGTCGTTAAGACTAAGAAGAATCTCGAAAGAAAAACTCGCAAGCTCAATCCCAACACTCTTGCTTACGCACAGGTTAAAATTATAATTTTCTCGTTTCCAATTTCTTTTGAAGTTTCTTTATTTTGTTGTTGAAAAATCATATTTTTTTAAAAAAAAACCGAATTAGATCCTTGGAACGGGAATGGATTCAGAAGATACATCTTCTTCCGTATTACTCTTCGTTGACAAACAGAGATTTATCTTTAATGCTGGAGAGGTAAAAAAATCTCTTTTTAAAGATACTTCTAACTTTTTTTGTATAGTATGATGATTTGTGATCACTTACTGGTCAATTTGTTGTATATTCAGGGCTTGCAACGTTTCTGTACAGAACATAAGATTAAACTATCAAAGGTTTGTATCATCAAACCTCCTCTGTTTCTTTCTGTGTAGTGTGTGTGTGTGTGTGTGTGATGAGATGAATTTGAAATTTGATGATTTGCTGAATTTGTTTGCTCAACTTTTACAGATAGATCATATATTTTTGTCTCGTGTCTGCTCAGAGACAGCAGGTGGACTTCCAGGTTTGTTCCAGCTCTTACTTATATCTTTGTTGCTTGACCTTTTAATTTATGTTGATTCTTTTAAAAGATTCTTGTTTTGATGTCATATGTCTTCTACTAACTCTTGCTGGTATCGGTGAAGAAGGGCTTTCGGTGAGTATTCTTGTCATATTGTGTGTGTCTTTGTGTAAATCTTTGTGTATGAAATTGCTGAAATCGTCTTCATTGTTTTGGTTACAAAAGGTGAATGTATGGGGTCCTTCAGATCTTAAGTTACTAGTCGATGCAATGACGTTTATTCCACGTGCGGCTATGCATACACGGAGTTTGGGTCCCTCGACTACACCTGATCCTATTGTTCTTGTGGATGACAAGGTTGTGAAAATATCTGCAATTTCCACATATCACAACTCTCACCTTTGCCACTTGCTGATGAATACTTTCTCTTTCTTTACTATTTGGACGGATTCTCTTTTAAGACTTCAAGTACACGTTTCCTCATGATTTTTATACTCAAATCGGGTTTTCTTCAACCCAGAGCTATCTCCACAAGTTTAGAATACTCCTGCCAAGTTTCAGCTCAAACCAAGCTCGTTTGTCCATCCAAACATTGCAACTCATCAGACATATAACACTGTTTTATAGTGCATCAACTAGTTTCAGAAAGACATCTATAAATAACAAACTGACTGTTGGCTTCTCAGTCCCACCATTTAATATGGAGTCCACTATACCATCTTGAAGGACACCAAATATCAGCTCAATCGGGCTTGGTTTAACCCTCCAATGATGCTTTGAAAACTCTGCTGCAAAATTGTTTTTCTACAAATCTGACTCTGCTTGATTTTAGATTAACTTTCAGATCAACTTTCAATTGACTTATACTCCTATTGCTGAACTGTTGAATACTATAAATTCTCTGAAGAGAGCTCTTTCCAGAGACAGCTCAATCGTTGTCTAGGTCCTTCTAGTCTGGGCGTAATCTTTCTCCAAAATAGGCAACACGCACACTGAAATTCCTGGATTTAGACTGCAGGTTTCTCAGGCGTTTCTTGACCGGGAAGCAAGCTTTCCATGCGACACCTCTGGTGGAATTAGGGTTCCGACTTGACAGCTTTCGAATCTTTGTTTGATGATGAACACGTTGGTACCTTTTCTGCACTTAACCGGCGTTTCCACAGCCACCAACGTGCCTCCAAAGTTGCCTTGATCACACTATCTTCTTCTTCAATCTAATTTGCTTGAACTCCGCTTTTTCCTTTCGGAGTTGCTCGGGTCTGATTCGTTTCTTCTTCTATTTACTGTCACGAACTAGATATTCCTTTTCCATTGTTTTCTTTCGAGGTGGTGTTCTCTTCCCCACGACGACTTCTCCCATCTACTCCCCCATGTCTTCTTTTTCTCCATCTCTCCTTTTTTGTTGTCCTTTCTAATTTATTCCTCCTCTACACTAATCAGCTTCTGATGATCACTCCGCCATCAAAGCTCTGCCATGACCATACCACCATTGAGGTAACTCACTCAGCCACCGACATCATCGTGGCTCATCTTTTCCTCACTCCATTTTTCCTCCTTCATCACCCATGACCTCTTTTGAAAGCTTTCTTTTTCTTAATTAGCTTTCTCTTTCTCTCTTCTTCTTATCTCTGTCGTCTTGCACAACGACGATAGTGACGCGAACGCTCATAACACCAAAACCATTATCGTATATCATGTTTTTACTTAGGATTTATTGGGCTTCAATTAAAAAATGGGCCCCAGAGAAAATAGGGAGCGAGGTGTTACAAAAGAACGAAGGAAAATTAAAAGCACTGTTGGTCGAAATTAGAAGAGAAGTAATAGAACAATAGATGGCTCCAACAGGCATCGGCCTCACTGAGTTGGCTCCAACAGGCATCGGCCTCACCGAGTTGGCTCCTCTAAACAAAACAATTCGACGTTTGAATATATTTCATACATTGCTATATTTTCTAATTTATATATGGCTAAGTAGCCTAATTAAGTTGTTAATTAATTAGAAGCATTTATATCCGTCTTTTTCTCAAAAATTAGTGATTCTAAATAAATTTGGGGGTACAAACAAAGCATGGATTCAAGTGTTTTATAGTTAATAAACTTGTTCATTGTGGACCTAGGTATTTTCAAAAATATGTCAGTTTTTTTTTTTTTGAACATTTGCTTCAAAAATATGTCGTTTTTTTTTTTTTTTTTTTTTTTTGGTAAAATGTTATATGTCGTTGTTCATAAGATATTTTGATAAATGAAATGATGTCCATTTTAGTGGAACATGTAGACGAACTTGATTGTATCATAACTCGGTTGCAAGTCTGGGATTGTGTGCGAGTTGTAGACGATTAAAATAGTACATACGAAACTTCAAAAATTAGAGAAAGACAAATATATCATAGGCTTTTAATTTGACATCATATCGTATATATGTACAAAATAATGCTGGAAAAGTGGAAAGCATAATAAAACAAAGAAAAACAACAACATTATATACAAAAAAGACTCCATCAATTGCAGTAACACCATAAATACAAAACAAAAACTTGGCATGTAAATAAATTACATAGCCAGATATCATAAACCTTTTTATAATCCAAAACCCTAGAACGCAAAACACACAATTTAATCTAATTACAGAACTGTATAGATCCATAATACTGAGTAACAACACGCACACCAAATGCAATAAATACCCATTCCTATAGTTTCGCTCCCTTTATAGACAACGTACAATCTTGCAAGATCTTTAATTCCTTAAATTTTTTTAACAACTTCACTTAGATCTTCTTTCTCGAAGCCTTTACCAACAATGTCAAGCAACTCCTCTTCCTCTCTCACACCGTTAACCCTACCGTCCCTCATCTGGTCGACCAAAGGACCATACGACCAGCTACATATCACGTAATAGATCACATTGATGAAGCTCATGATGGCGAGTAGCCAATAGTAATAGTTGTAATGACCCTTGTTTATGTTGTCTGAAACCCAACTCTCTTTACCATTTCTTGAGGTTAGATGATTCACCGCACTGAGGATCACGCTTGCCAGTAGACTCGCCACAGCCATTCCTAGACCGAATAGTGATGCTGCGATGCTAGACATGCTTTTAGGAAACTCGGTGTAGAAAAACTCGGTCTGTCCTATTGCGGTAAGAGCCTCTGCTAATCCATGTAGCACATATTGTGGCACGAGCCACATCGCTGAGATGTCAACGACAGCAACGGCATTGTTTGCGTACCCTTGGCTCAAAGCTTTTTTCCTTCTCAAGCTTTCGACCATTGCGGAAATCGCCATTGCTAAGAATGACATGAATAACCCTAATCCCATCCTTAGCTTAACGCTGAGTCTAAAAGGTCTGCCTCGGATCTTTGAAACTAAGCTATGATTGTGAACATACCGAATGATCCTGCTGGAATTTGAAAGCTTGAACCATGGCGGCTCAGACGCCTGTCCATGGACGTCGCTTGCAGCAACTGAAACGAGCTTTGGCTAGTGTTTATGAACATGATTATACCTGTGGACCATATCGGTATGACTTTGATCAATGCCTTAAGCTCTTCTACTTTGTCTGTTGTGCATAGCCCCCATGGGTTCAAAGCGAACCCGTCTGACCCAATCTCCTCCTCGCGGTTATTTATTAAACAAGCTTTGTTCAGAAACCTAAACAAGAGAGTATCAAAAGTAAGAAGAAAGCATCATGTTTTCTGTATAACAAGCTTTGTTCAAAAACTTAGTCAAGAGAGCATCAAAGTAAAAAAAAATGCATCGGTGTTGCAAGAGAGTCGTATCAAAGTAACGAGATCGAGGGCATTATGTTTATAGTATAACAAGCGTTGCTCAAAACCTAATCAAGAGAGCATCAAAAGTGAATAGAGTGTGAACACAAATATTAGACAGAACTCATATATATATATATATACATGCATACACCTTTTTAAAATAATATTTATTTTTGTATATAATATTTGTGTAACTTCTCTTCTTTATTTATGATGCAATCACACACCTTTTTTAAGATCTGCGTCAATAGAATATTGTCACATCTGAAATTATGGGTTCGCATTGTGGTCACTCATGAGTCACTCACACCACTTGTGAGGGACACTTTAAATTGGCAACTATTGTAAAACAAAACTGAAATTTCAAACATATGGAATTGGCACCTAAGAAACTAATCTGAAAACGACATTTTTAGCGTAACAAAAACTTCTTTTTTGGTCAAAGAAGTGTAAGAAAAACAAAAGAAAACAATAATGCACCAATGTTTTCCATAGGACGAGTCCTAATGTCTCACAAGTCACATGCAAAATGTGAAAGTTCTAAAACCGTACAATATTATTATTACCCTATAGTATTTTAGTTAAATAGTATGACGTTATTAACCACCTAGTTTAATGGTACAGCAACGATGGATATGTCGGATATTATATTAACCCACTCCAATCCTCTACCTATTAATTGAATTTGAGAATATAGTTTAATGAAAAATATTGATTTGTTTTAATTTGATTGGTTAAAATTATTTGTCTATTCTAATTAAATGTGACATAGAAATGATGATGTAATTGTGACATGACATTTACTAATACATGTGATTAATGACATGGCAAAAAAAAATTTTATGATATTTTCATAAATAAAAATTTTAATTAGTTGACAAAATTTAATGTACTAATAACTAAATCTGGTAGGGGTGGGCATTTCGGTTTTTGGTTTGGTTTTTTTGGTCTTACGGTTTATCAGTTTTGTAAAAATTCAAACCATATAAAAGCCATATATATTTAGGTTCGGTATGGTTTGGTTTTCTACGGTTTGGTTTGGTATGGTTCGGTTTCGATTTTTTCGGAATTATACTATTACGAAAAAAATTAATTCAAACTGATAAAAATAGTTATAATAGATATGAGTAAAATAAAACAATAAGTTCAAAAAATAAAATCTAAATCATAAAAAATTTCATCAATAAAAAATAAATTTATAAAAACCAAAAGCTAAATAAAAATCAGATTCTTATCACTGTCTTCACTCTTCAGCCACAATTGTTTGTCTCCTCGTGCTGTTTATAAATCTCTGATATACAAAATTTATATTATATAAATATTGAAAACAATTTATATTTATATAAAATTTTGAAACCTTCTAATATATTACAAAGGAATAATGAATAGAAACCTTCTTGTAACGATTCCATATGCTCAATTTCTTTTACCACTTTTTGAAAATCATCTATGCTTTCATCCGCATGAAGTGCTGTGTTAAGCCAATTTTGCGTTAAAATCAACGCTTCCACCATAAAAGGAGTTAGAAAACTCCTGTAAGGATCTAAGATGTAATCTCCGGTGCTAAACACAGATTATGACAAAACATTAGAGACAGGAATAGCAAGCACGTCCCTTGCTACTTCCACTAACGTCGGAAACTTAACGCTATTAGTTTTCCACCACGATAATATATCATAGGGAATCCCAAGAGGGGAAGCTTTTGGTATTTCGACATTTTCTATCAGATATATATCCAACTCATTGACTATACCATCACCACTTCTCTTTTGCGCTTGCATCTTAGTATACCGAGAAAATTTTGTGTCGCGTGATCCACGAACAAAATAAGATATTATTGTGATCTTCTGTAAAACATTCAAAATTTAAAATTAGTTTAGTTTAAAAATAATAACAAATATAAATATAAGATTACGATTTATTTAATAATCCTCTACATTATTTTTCTTAACAAACGTTAGATATCCTAAAAAATCAACGTGCATCTAATGAAAAACCAAAATTATAATCTTCTACATTATTTAAAAATTCTAATGTCTATTTAATAAAAACCAAAAAGATCCATATAAAATCATGTTCATCCCAAATAAATACGTAATAAAAAAGTTAAATACTCAGGTCCTTATATAAAAAAACATCACGATATACATGAGTATCAAACAAATCAAACCCTAACTTAAAGTGCGGGCATGACAATTCTACCAATCCATTTACCTAAATTGAATATGACTAAAATGAAACTTGAAGGTTGGATAGACTCCAATCATGAGTGTAATGAAGCAAGGTTTTATCGCTACACTGAATTTCAAAACAAATGGATTTGGCATCAAAAAAATAAGAAGTGACTCCCTCGTCTGCACAACAGAAAAAATAATGTTTCCTATGATATCAGCCTTCCAGAAGTTTTAAAATAATATAGTGAGCTTTTCTACCTTAAAATATTGCTAAATGTTCAGAGAGGACCAGTATGCTTCAAATATATCAGGACAGTAAACAGAGTTTTATATCTAACCTTCGCTGAAACATGTCTTGCAATAGGGTTAGTTGAAGCACTTGATGCTTAAGTGGAGATGGTCTTGCAATTATTTGTAGAGTCTACTTGATAAAATTGTAAGTAGAAAAATCACACATATGAGTAGATCGAGACCAACAATGACAAAATCCTTGAAGAAATAGTGCTTTAAATTGAAGAAGATATAGGAAAACAAAGAAAATGAAAAATTTTTGTTCAAAGAAAAAAACACAGAGAAAATAAAATTTGCAGCCTAATCCGCAAATCCGAAGAAGGTAACCAACTATCCATGGATTTGACCTATTTGACCCTCTAACATAGCAGGTCAAGTTTTACATAACCGGTTCATTGAAAAATAATTTTTGTGTTTTCTAAATTTAATTAATATTTTTCAAGTCTGTCTCAAAATATAAATGAACCTTTTATTAAAACAAAAAGTTTAGTTAAAATTAGATCATATTTTACTATTAAATTTAAAGTCTTATAATTCAAAACACTAACATTGAGTTTCATAAACTACAAAAAATTAAAAAATTTAAGACAAATTTAAGTATTGTATTTAGATAATTACATTTTTAAAATTGTTTATCCCGCACGCATCTGCACATGCGTGCGGGCAAATATCCTTGTATTACAATAAATTCAAATATTCAATATCTTTTATTTTAAAAATATAGCCTGAAAATAAAACCTCGTACCACACTATCCTTCATTTAATTTTTAATGTCGTAAAAAAAGATCTTAAATTTATTGAATAATATAAAAAAAGAGTATTTATATAACGGAAAAGGTAAATGGTAAGAACTTTTAAAAAGAGTTGTCTGTTTTTCGAAATCAGTTACGGATTCTATCAGTCTTTTTTTTTTTTTTGACAACACGGATTCTATTAGTCTTATCTAATGATAATTAGTTAATTACTTGTTCAAAAAATAAACTCGTGATAAGTAGTAGTACTTACTGTAGTAGTAAACAAGTTACTAAAATTCACAAAATGAGTATGACAGCTTAACAAGATTTTTCAGATACCGGTTTAAAAACCGAGTCAGACCGTTTAGAAGTCGTATCTCACGCACCAAACCAGATAAATTAACCAACCATTCCAAAATCCAAAGACAAATCAGTTACAGCAGCAGAGTGCAAGAAACCGATTGGTTAAGAAAACCCGGTTTTAGTGAATCTTGGTAGGCGAAGAATTGAAGAGGAGAGAGAAACAATGGCGATGGTGAGAAATCGACCTAAATAGGAATCCGAGGGAAAAGCACCCAAGAGTGGAGTGAAGTTTGTTGCAGCAGACCACATGAAAAGCACATTTGTTCGTTTTGCTACTCCAAATCTGTAATCTCTAATTAGATACATAATCATGTTTGGTAACAATCCATAGCTCGCCACTTTCTCGAACACCTCGTTTGCTTCACCATAACAATTAAACAACAACAATTAGGTATCTCTATGACAAATGAGAGAGCAGTTACGTTTTCATAAGTGGATTTGTAAAAAATGTTAAAGTAAATGTAATACCTATGATGAAGGGCATAGTGATGATTCCACCCTTTGGTTTTTTTGCTCCATTGAGTTGGATTTGCTTAGCCTCTGTTTGATTAGGAGGATTCTCCATTGTTTCAATATTGATTGGTGGATTAATACTATAATCTGGTAACTATATATAGGAGACAGACAGAGAAAGGTAAAAGGAAGAAGAAGAAGAGGAAGATCTTTGTCTTTGCGAGTGGTTTGAGAGTTAATGCGATTTTGTTTTCAGACAGAGGAATCTCTGTTTCAATTTCACGGCGAATAGGTAATCCACTACATATTATTTGAGAAGTATCATTATTCAAAATAGCTAATTTGTCAACACTATAGCCAAAATTAATGTTTTTAATTGATGACATGTAAATGTGACATGTCAAACTTCCTAAAATAAATGAAATGTTTTGATTGGTTGAACTAAAATTAAAGAACTTGTAGAATCCACTACATAATATTTGAGAAGTAACATTATTGAAAATAGCTGACTTGTCAACACTACAGCTAAAGTTTGTGCTTTTAATTGATGACATGTAAATGTGACATGTCAAACTTCCTAAAATAAATGAAATGTTTTGATTGGTTGAATTAAAATTAAAGAACTTGTGGAATTAAAACATAAAAATACTAGATTATACTTATAACACTAAAATTAAAAAAAATTAGATTAACAGAAAATAATTATTATTATGATTTTAATGTTTTACATATATTCATAATTTCATAAAATATAATTAAAAAATATTAATAACAACAAAAATATCTATATATATATTTTTTATATGAAATCAAAAAAATAATACTAAATTATCCAATAGAATAGTAAAGATTTTATATATTAATAATGTTTGAATTATGATATATTTTATTTTGGAAAGTTATTAGTTTACAAAATATAGTAATAACATCTAAACAAGTTTTAAATAAACAAATTATCAAATAATACAATTTCAAATAAATTACAATCATGATAAAAATAATTTAAATGTTAAAAATAATAAAAAATAAATAACTTTTATTGAAATTTTTTTTAAAAACGTAATTTAAAATAAATTTTCTTTTCAAACCAATATTTACTAAATGAGTAAAGTATATACTAATTATTATTTTATAATATTAATAGGACAATATACTTTTATAAAATTTTATCACATTTTTATTATTATTTTCTAAAATATACATAACTTATGTTACAATCTTATCTTATCTCTTATCATATTTTAAATAAAAAAATTATATCATATACACATATATATAGACGTAATTTTTTTATCGTATATCAAAAATTTGAGATCATAAATGAAATAAAAAAATAACCAAACAAAATAATAAATTAAAATAAGATGAAATAAATATGAATAAGAATTAAAAATAGAAGTGTATAAAAATAAATCTCTGGCACTTTGTTTTACAAAGTCACTTAAAAAAATTTTAACATGTAAGAGCCATATTTCGACTTTCTTATAAATATGCGTACATACATAAAAATTGTACATTAGTAGAAGTCACATGACCTTTTTCGTGCATGTTAGTATTTGTTAAGCTTGGTTACAGTCTAATTTATATTTTAATTTTTATAGTACAATTTTTTTTTAAAAAAAATATTTATCTATTCTAAGTGTAGTGAGGTGGTTGGTACCTCCACACATGCATGTCAACTATCTATCCACTCTTAGGATAAATAAAAATGGTAAAAACTATTTCAGTTTAATTTGCAATAAATAAAAAATTATATACTTAAAAATATATTATATATGTATTTCAAATTCATATTATGTAAGACGTAAAAAAATATTGTATATTGTGTAAGGTAAAATAAAACATATTATGGATAATATTCAAAAAATATTATAAGAATTTAATTATTGTTTAATATAACAATTATATATTATTACAAATTTCATAAGAAGAAAAATTTTAAAATACATTAGTTTCAGAAATAAGTTATGAAATACTAAACAATATATATATATATATATACAAAACATATTAATTTTTTAACTATGTATATCAAAAATATTATACCCGCACATATGTGCGGGCCAACCACCTAGTTAAAACATAAAAACACTAGATTATACTTATAACACTAAAACTAACAAATTTAAATTAACAGAAAATAATTATTATTATGATTTCTATGTTTTACATATATTCATAATTTCATAAAATATAATTAAAAAATATTTTCAACAAAAAAATATATATTTCATATAAAATCGAAAAAATAATATCAAATTATCCAATAGAATAGTAAAGATTCTATATATTAATAATGTTTGAAGTAATATAGTAAAAACATCCGAACATGTTTTAAATAAATAAATTATTAAATAATATAATTTTAAATAAAATTCAATCATGATAAAAATAATTTAAAGAATAAAATCTTAAAAATAATATTAATAGAACCATATATTTTTATAAAACTTTTATCACCATTTTATTGTTGTTTTCTAAAATATACATAATTTATGTTACCATCTCATCTTATCTCTTATCGTATATTAAATAAATACATATTTATCATATTCATATATATATATATATATTCATAATTGTTTTTATTGTATATCAAAAATTTAAGATCATAAATGAAATGAAAAATAATCGAACGAAATAATAAATTAAAATATGATGAAATAAATATGAATAAAAATTAAAAAAATAGAAGTGTATAAAAATAAATCTCTCGCACTTTGTTTTACAAAGTCACTTAAAAACATTTAAACATGTAAGAGTTATATTTTGATTTTTTTACAAATACCCGTACAAATATCCACTACATATTATTTGAGAAGTAACATTATTCAAAATAGCTGATTTGTCAACACTACAGCCAAAGTTAGTGCTTTTAATTGATGACATGTAAATGTGACATGTCAAACTTACTAAAATAAATGAAATATTTTGATTGGTTGAACTAAAATTAAAGAACTTGTAGAATTAAAACATAAAAACACTAGATTATACTTATAACACTAAAACTAACAAATTTAAATTAACAGAAAATAATTATTATTATGATTTTTATGTTTTACATATATTCATAATTTTATAAAATATAATTAAAAAAAATTTCAACAAAAAAAAATATTTTTCATATAAAATCGAAAAAATAATATCAAATTATCCAATAGAATAGTAAAGATTCTATATATTAATAATGTTTGAAGTATTATAGTAAAAACATCTGAACAAGTTTTAAATAAATAAATTATTAAATAATACAATTTTAAATAAAATTCAATCATGATAAAAATAATTTAAAGAATAAAATGTTAAAAATAATATTAATAGAACCATATATTTTTATAAATTTTTTATCACCATTTTATTGTTATTTTTTAAAATATACATAATTTATGTTGCCATCTCATCTTATCTCTTATCGTATTTTAAATAAATATATTTTTTTTATCATATTCATATATATATATATATATATTCATAATTTTTTTTGTATATCAAAAATTTAAGATCATAAATGAAATGAAAAATAATCGAACGAAATAATAGATTAAAATATGATGAAATAAATATGAATAAGAATTAAAAAATTAGAAATGTATAAAAATAAATCTCTCGCACTTTGTTTTACAAAGTCACTTAAAAACTTTTTAACATGTAAGAGTCATATTTCGACTTTTTTACAAATACCCGTACAAACATAAATATTAATTGTGCATTAGTAGAAGTCACATGAACTTTTTCGTGCATGTTAGTATTTGTTAAGCTTGTTTACAGTCTAATATATATTTTAATTTTTATAGTACAATTTTTTTTTTATATTTTTTTTATCTATTATAAGTGTAGTGAGATGGTTGGTATGCTCACACATGCATGCCAACCATCTATCTGCTGTTAGGATAAATAAAAATAATAAAAACAATTTCAGTTTAATTTGCAATAAATGAAGAAAAATATATACTTAAAAATATATTATATACGTATTTCAAATTCATATTATGTAAGACGTAAAAAAGAATTGTAGATTGTGTAAAGATAAATAAAACATATTATAAATAATATTCAAAAAATATTATAAGAATTTAATTATTATTTAATATAACTTTTATATATTTGATTATATATTATTATAAATATCATAAAAATAAATTTTTTAAAAATATATTAGTTTTAAAAAGTTCTAAAACAATATATATATATACAAACATACTAATGTTTTAACTATGTATATCAAAAATATTATATGTGCAGGCCAACCACCTAGTTAATAGTAAATTATAAGGAACAAAGTAGAAAAATGTTTAGTGAAAAAAAATATATTAAAAGGTATAGTAAATGGATGTGATTATCCAAATTTATTTTGTCCTTAAACATCAATCTCCACATCCTCTACTTCACTATAAATAGAAGCCCTCTCATTTGTAATTGAGATCACGACTGAGAGTAATAAAAACACAATTTCTCACTTTCCCTACACCTCGCTCTCATCTCTCTCTTTATATCATTCAAATCACTTATAATATATATACACATCAAACACATATCTCATATTCGATAATATATAATTTATAACACATTATCAGCATGAACATCTCTTAATCCTGAAATCAGATCTATATCCAAAAGGTAAAATATATTTTAGTTTAATTTATTTTAAATTTATTATTTACGGAAAGATAGGCTCTGTCTTTTCCGTTTATATTGTTTATTATGCCAATGATGGTAGGCTTTGTGTCCTCCGAGCAGATCGTTATGGTAGGCTATGCCTTCACGATCTAAATGATCACATGGTAGATTATGTCTCCTCAGATCATTGAGTGGGAGATTAAAACTCTCATCTTTATTTATTTATTAATTTATTAATTAAT